AAAAAAAATAATATGAAAATACGTAGGAGCAAAAAGTGATAGATAAGAATTAAAAATAAAAGAGAAGAATAAGAGCTAAAAGTAAAAAATAAAATAAAGGAAAAAATATTAAGAAATTATATGTAAAGTATATAACTAACGGTGTATTTATTACTTAATTTCTATAAATTAAGATCATAATAAACTTTAAGTGAATGATCAAACCTGTTTTAATTTCCAAATAAACTTTATTGAATAAATAATTAAATAAATAATCCCTCAGAAAATGCATGGACCACAAAGCTACAATACAATTAGTTGGATTAAAGAGATTTTGTTAAACGTGCCTAATGGTTATTAATTGAATCGACTTGCTTGGCACATTTTTACGAGATGCAGAAGCCATGTGCCTTACAATTCCGCATCTCAATTTCATGCAAATAGATTTTAAGGTATAAGAAATACTTTTCAACTGATTAAAAAGGAAAATGTTTAATTTAATTTAAATTAAATTAAAAAGATTAAAACTAAACTAATTTAAACTGATATTTTACAATTTAAATTAAGTTAAATTTTAGTATTTTATCTTTTTTAAGAGACACAACTTTAACATTTTGATTTGAAAATAAATAAAATTTCACTAATTACATTATGAATAGATTTTAATTACATAAACTTTTTTAGTAACTGATTTTGGTATTTTAAATATAACATTTATTAAATAAATTTAAATTAGTCTAAATTGTAATAATATCAAAGCTTTCTTTAAAAAAATATGAATAAATTTAATAAAATATACATTAAATTAATATTTATATAAGAATAGAATAGAAAATTCAATATATTTATGGTTTGGCTTAGTTTAAATTAATTGTAAAAATGAGAATAGAAAGTCAAACCAAATTGCAAGAGAAAAGAAAACCTTTTTTTTATTTCTGATTCTTTCAATTATAAATTATTCAACTTTTGAAAATTTTTAATCTATTTAACGATTTGAAACAGTTTGTATCAATTATGAACACCCTTATTCTCAAACGATGGTAAAAACTGAGGCAGCAAAGTTGTACAAAGTATAATCTTTTCTGAAAACAAACCCTGGCATTTTGCTAAGACATTTTAAATTATTTCAAAGGATCTATAATAAATTTTAATTTTTTAAATAAATTTTATGATTGAACCTATGATATAAGTTTGTATGAAATCAATTGCAATATGGATAATGTGCATATGCTAATTTCTTTGGAAATAACTTATAGTGCTTCAAATCGGCGATAATTGTTCTTTTAGTTTTGGAATGATAAATAGACAGGAAATATTGCATTAACAAATTTATACCTAAGGTTGGTTTTAACAACAACTAATGAGAAGGCGTGTGTGATGGATAACGGATGATTTGAGATGGGTCAATGGATTTGAAAAATTTATTGGAGAAGACAATTATTTTCATAAAAAGAGAATTTACAATAGTAATTGTGGGAAACTATGAAGGATAAGAAATCAAGAGAAAATGGGAATGACATGTTGTTGTAAAAGTGTAATAGTGACAAGAAATATAATATGCAATCTGCTTATCAGCACATTCATCATTTCTTTACTGTAGGTAGTGGTTTGAAGCTGGGTCTAGTGCAGGCCTTATGCAAGATTTGGAAGTTCAGTGCCCAAGAAAGGTAGTGGTATTCATTTAATGTTTATTACTTAATGCAGTCCTGATATAGAAGAACTTAACCAAACGTGAATTGATGATTCTCGCAAAAGCTTGTGTGTTGTGTAGTACCAGTGACGGATACAAAGGGAGTAAGGTAGGGCTTGGCCCCCCCTCTTTGTTATATTTGTTTAGTTGGAAGCGCTTAAGAAGACATTTGGATCTATCATTGATGTGCTCCTTGATGCTGACCACAAATAAGATCGAGTTTGTGTGTGTAATTGGATATTTGACTTCATGACCTTGCTATCGAATTTATAAGAGACAAACTAGATGTAACAAAAGGAAAAGAAGTAAATAAAGTACTTTTTTTCATTTCATCTTCATTTTTTTTATATAATATTATATTTATTTGTTATATTACCACTAGTATAGCCCTCGTCCTCTCAGAATACGAAATATTAGTATTGACTTTAAGAAATTAATAAAAAATTGACTATTTGAGTACAAATTTCCTTGGTCCACCACTGTATCACACTCAGCAACATTACTATATTAATTCACTTTTTGTCTTTTGTATTAGGAGTTGAACTTGAAAGCTTCTCCAACAAGGTAAGTGAAAATCTCATTTTTTATATTTTTTTTAATTTTTATCATTAGTGCTTATCACATTTTAATTTTTTTAGTTTCCAACTCCAAGCAATAGCGACTCAACGAGACAGACGACAACGAGAGAAAGAAGCAGTCCTTCTTCTAAGTTCTTTTTTATTTTTCATCATTCTTCTTGAATACAAGAATTAGTAGTATACTGGTATATTTTAAGCTTTGTTATTAAATTTATTTTCTTTCAACCCTCCTTTGAATGGTTTTTAATCCGTTACTGTGTGGTAATAAAGATAAGGACATATTGCATCTTTTTTGTATTGCAATTTCTCTATAAAACTGTAGTACATTGTATTTGAATGATTTAGTGTCAGTTTATGTTTATCTAAAAATTTATCCTTAATAAAATGTTAATATTTTAAAAAAAATTATATGAAATAACTTATTCTATAAATACTTCAATATATTATTATTATTATTATTGGTCAAGTATTGCAGGAAATTTATGCCGTGCATGCCAAATGTTTGAGGATCTTAATGGCAATTGAAATTTTCAGGATTTGAGGCTCTTTGTATAATAATACATGTGTTTATATGATGATGATCATCAATTGTTTTTTATTATAAATGTCAACACTAAAGTAACGTGGACAGTATTAAACACATCACATCAAATCCATTAGATTGAGCATGACATTGTTGAGGAAATGTATATTGACACTTATATTAATTTAAATAATATTTCATCAAAAAATAACTATATTAATAAAAAAAAATTAAATAATAATAAATGTAATAATATACATACTCCACTGATTTTCACGTTTTGTCTATCAAGTATCAATGATGCCACCTATAAATATAGATCTACCCACCAAAATCACATTTTCCTACTCCAAAATACGTCAAGAGAGTGGGGTCCCTAGACATTAAAGGAAACTAATACTTATCGATCAAGGATTAATTTTTTATATATATAAATTATGATTTTTATTTTTAAATTAAGGGAATATGAAGTTTCAAAATTATTATAGCAATTTTCGGTATAAATAAAGGAATTAAAAAAATAAAAGAATAAAAAGTGATAAAGTCTCACTATCGTCAACGGTATATTTTTTAAAAAAATATTATAAATTTAAAAAAATTTAAAACTTGCTAATGACAATTTTTAAAATAACAATAAAATATTTAATTTAAAAAATTCATATTTCTATAATTTTTGCAAAAAATTCATATTTTTGTAATTTAAAAAATCCATAAAAAAAAAATAGCCACCAAGCAACATTATCAACAATAAAACCTTGAGTGTGACCCGCAAGAATCGAGGGTAATCGAGGTAAGTAGATATTCAAGATAATACAATAAAAGATTTTCAACATAATGCTCAACATTTCAGATGAGCATCCAAAGGCCTTTATTTTCAGAAAATATTAATCTTTAAAGTCAATCTTAAAAATTAAAGTTATTAAAAATTCTTATAATACTTTATATTTTCATATAATAATCTTTTTAATTAAACTCTTTCTTTTAAGTAATTAAAATTAATTTTAGATATTGATGTTAAGGAAACCATATTTTGGACCATTGGTTCTTATCATTTTGATAATAGATGGATTGACAAAAGTAACCAATAAGTTGATAAAAAAGCTGAAAGTTAAGAATTAATAAGTCAATTATTTGAATTAAAAATAATTAGTACAAAATAACATAAAATGATATATTTAATTACTAATCCATCATTTAATATTTTCAATTAATTCATTCCTATATTCTAACTTATTTTAAATAATCTATCATCTTAAAATTAAGATAATGACCAGCCTTAAGAGGGAAAAGGCCGGAAAACGAGTAAGAAGCTAATTTCTCACCTTTATACTCTTAAACTCTTGATAATGAATTTTAACTATTTTTATTAAATAAAATGAGATAATCTAAATAAATATATTTTTAAAAATTTTATATTATAAAAATGAGGGAGAGTATCAAGGATTTGTGGAAAAAAAAAGTTAAAGAAGAAATTATGATAAATAATGAACATAGAAATGGAAGAAAAATAATAAGGTAGGAGCTTGTAAGCCCAAAAGCTATTTCCAATAATGGCCTTTCAAAAAGCACTACAAAATTGGACAAAAAATAAAAAAAATAAAAAGAAAGAAGCACTACAAAAGAAAAACATTACAAGCTATTAAAACAAGCTTCTTTACCAAACAAATCTAGCTTAAAATGCTTTGACTTTGCCTAACACACACAAGTGATACATTCATGGATAAATTATCTAGATGCTGATTGTGATAATTCCACATTTAGTTCCACCATGAATACTGTGCCTACCTTTAGAAGTTCTAATGTGGTCAAGGATTTTAGTAACACCGTGGGTTAAAAGACCAGTGATCCCAATAACAAGCACCCAATGATAGTCAAATAACATAACGCATGATGAGTAAAGTTGTGTATCCATAACTTGAAATAATCTCTACCACAAATGATGAAAAATTGATCATGGAAAGATAACATGAAAACCAAAGGCATAAATGTATCACTGCAATATGTTTGAGACTGGTATTTGCAGATTATCAACAGCAGCTTGGAGCATTCACACTAACATACTAACAAATGCAAATCTCAGTACACTTGGATTCTTCAAAATTTCCAATACCTTCAATCTTACAGCTGAAATGAACAAGCTACCATCTCATTTTAAACATATTTCACTGTCCAAAGAGGAAGACATTTCACCTTAAAACATATATTATCAATGTATCTTCTACATGTCTGGTAACTTAGGCAACTACTAATTGATGCAAGTCGGTGAAAAAGTAGTTATTGATGCAAGATTTCATAGAACCAAAGGCATAACAAAATTTTGATGCACAAACACATTACATCATATTAAATTAACACAGTTGAAAATGCACTGAGTAAGGAAGACATTTTGCTCAACAAAACTTAGATGTAGGAAAAAGCCTCACATAGTAAAATCAAAGAAACCTATATACAAGCATAGAGGAACAAGGAGTTATAAAGGATGTCTCCTTCAGGTAGATCCGAATTATCCTCATCCTCTTCCTTCTTAGTTGTTGGCACATCCTGCTTTTTCTGTGCTGAAGTTTTTAGACATGGGTCGCCTGAAAATGATACAAGGCAAACAAGTATCAAAATTCAATTTAGTCTTTTTATTGTATATATTTAACAAGAAATACCTCTTGTTTCACCTTACACACTATCTGTGATACACTCAGTATCAATTCCACTCCAAGGGCCAAATCATAGCAGACAAATGTACAACATCAGGAAACAACTTGTATGTAACAACACTTTTGGGACCAATAGTTCCTTAAAGGGGAGTTAGTTTAAGGAAGAGAAGGGGATGTTTATTTGATAGCAACTGAAGTTTGGAAGTTTTTAAATATACGAGATTTTTTTATACACACTCCAAACTCTCTCTCCTATAAACTCATGTCTTTAAATTCCCCAAACTTACGGAATTGTTTTTGTTAATCTTCTTTCTCCTTCATTACTCCTCTCCTACCTCTCAAGCCCTTTGTCTTCTTTCTCCCTCCAAACTTTGAAACAAAATCTTGAGAATAAAATGTAAGCAAGTTGACATATTTGAAAACCAAATGATATAATGCGAAAGTTACATAAATCAAAAGTAAACAAAATGTTATAAAAAAAATAGACAAAATGTCACTTTCAAGGACGAATTTGTGTATTTACTCAAATTTTAACACCACAACTTAGATAAATTTAGTGAATATATATATAAACTGAGATAAATTTAAATCAATCGTAAATGAAACTCACTTTCTGACCATTAACATCTTCTTACTTTATAACTCTGCTTCATCCCAACATGTATTATGTATCACCAACACAAGTTAACAACCCAAAAGGAAACAATTTATTTATATTCTTGGTAGTTCCATTGGAACAAACCTATGTTAGATAGAAAAGGAAGGAGCTTTTGCGTTTAGGCGTGACTTTGTTCTTGTAGAGTGTTGAACTAGACGGGCTTTGAACACCTCTCTTTTCGCTTGAACGTTGTTGTAGGGTGATCGGAAGAAGAGGGTGTTGGAGTAGGCGAGGGAGGGGCATATCACTGAGGATAACTCTGAGGAAGAGAGGTGTTGAGGAAGCAGTGGTGCCAAGTTGTGTGAGGATTTGAGGGTGTGGGAAGGCAAGGGAGGGGGTGGAGGAGGGAGGCTGAGTGGTGTTGGTGATGAAGGTGAAGGTGGTTGTTTCGTGGGTAAGAAGAGAGAGAGGAATCTGTTGATGGTGGACGAAGCAGCCATGGATGATTCTTAGTTGTCGTGTAAATGGGAATATTTTTGTCAGAAATTTGGATAAGATCTTTTGTGGATCCCAATTCCATCGTCATTCAAATATGATATAATTAATACACGGGTCTATCAGCTAATCCAGAATATATTAATGTTGGCATTATATAATTAAATTATAAAAATAATAAGAGTCACTGTATATTAATTCTCCATAAAATATAACATTCATTGATTTAACTATAGAATTATCTTATATTATTTTTATTATTATATATTAAATTTTACATAATTTAAATAATATATATATATAAACACATTAACATATTATTTAACAATTAATATTTATTTATATTTAAAAATATTATATCTGTTAGAATAAATTAATATAATAAAATATTTATTAATTTTATTTTTAAATTAAATTTTATAAAATTAATCTATTTAATAAAAACTTTCAAACTGACAATTAAAATAGCCCATCATATATTTTATAAAATGTTATTTAGAAATGTAAGTTACAATAGGACAAAACATTTTAAAAAATATAGTTAAAAATAAATATTTTAAAGAAAAATTAATTAAATTACTGCTAAAATTTATTAAAAAAATTTTAAATAATATAATTTTTTAAATAAAAACTGAATTTAGAAGTTATTTACACGTATAAAAGATATTAATATCTTACAATGTTACTATTACTTTAGAATAATTATGTAAATTTATTATAATTTTAAAAATTATTTATTTAATTTTTAAACAATAATTTTTATCACTTTATTTTTTTTAAAGAGAAATATTTTATTTATTATAATATTAATTAATATTTTAAAAATTATGTGAATTTATACTTTAATTTAAAATTTTGTATTATAAAAAATTTAGAACAGTGTAAATTATGTATAAATTTTTTATAACTTATTTGATACAATGTAAATTGTACAATGATATTAGAAAATATTACATAAAAAATAATTTTAAGAGATTAAATAATTATCTAAATTAGAAATACAAAATTTACACTTTAATTACTAAATTAATTATTGAAGTCATAAAAGAAAAACATAACTATTTGATGGAGGTTATATTTTAGTTAATTAATATAAATAAATATTTAATAAAATAGAAAATTAGAAATAATTTAAATTAAAAAATTCATGTTGTATGAGACTTGTAGGTTTTAATAATTTGTAATACATAGTAAAAAAATTACATATTAATATTATAAATCATTTCATGAATTTTATTTATTTATTTATTATAATTTTAAAATAAAATATAACTTATTAACCATACATAAAAAGACAAAATATAAATCCAAATCAAATTATACAAAAATGAAACAATAATAAAAATAATAATAATGAATAAATAATTAAGATAAATAAATAAATAAATAACTAAAATAAAGACAATGAAATAACATAAAATTATAATAAAAAATTAATCTTAACATTATTTCATTCATTTCACCAATACCATCGTTGTTATCTAGAATAACAAAAGTGTGTGTAGTGGGAGAATGTGACCTCAATATGAAAAAGTAAATGAAAATTTTTTAATCCTTTTCTTTCTTCTCTTTTTTACTCTTTTTTCTATATATGATACCCACTCGGTTTTGAAGTCCCCTTTTTGTTTTTTTTATTATTATTATTATCTTTTAATATTTTTTTCAGCTTCAGTTATTAGCTTCATGCCTTCATTCTAATTTTTCTCTTATGTATAAAGATTTGTTACTTATTTTTTATTTAAAAAAATTGAAATGTTTAATTTTAACTTGCCTTATTTACTAAGAAATTTTTTTCTTTTTAAAGAAAATAAAATTTATTTTTATTTTCATTTTAGCAGAAACAAAAGAAAAGATTTTTGTCAAAAAAAGAAAATATGAATGAAAGTCAAGGGAAGGAAGAGAAAAGAATTATTTTTTTTAAGAGTTTGAAGGAAGAGAGATACAAGTTGTAAAAACATAATTAAGGGGTAAGAAAAAAGAGAAAAAAATGAAATAATTAAAAAAATTAAATATACTGCTTTTTATATAATAAAGCCAGTATTTTAGACAAAAAATAATTTATTTGAAATATTTTAATTTAATTAATATATTTTAAAATTTTATTTCTAAAAAATATAAAATTAATTTAATCAAATAAGTATATAAAGAAATTAGTTGAAATCAATCAAATGATTTTTCATGAGTTAGCTTTGACCTGGGGTCTTTTAAACAAAAAAAATTGTTTTCAGGAAAATTAATTATAAAATAAAATAATTAATTAATTTGAAGTAGTTTTTGGCATGTTATAATTGGATATCACCTACTAAAATAGCAATACTTATTTAAAAAAGTAAAATTATCCATTACACACTTGAGATGTATTGTACATGCAACGTGTATTCTCTGGAGAAATCTGGTTCAATCCATATCTATACTTTTAACAAGAAAAGACAACTTTCAATTTCATCCAACTGACATTCTTGTACTCTTATTTTGGGTCAACAACATTCTTGTCCTTTACATTTTTTGGTCGTGAACCTTCTTGTACTTTCAACTGTGTTTCTGCTTAAGTTTGTGTTCTGTTGTGTTGCTTCTAGGGCTTGCCCAATTCATCTTCTGCTTTGTTGGGCTTTGACCTTATTTGGTCTTTCATTCAATGGTAACTTTATTCTTTGTTGATAAAAAAAAATGGCATTTTTTTACCAAAAATATACTGCTTGCTTTAAAATAACTAAAGTATTTGCATCTATGGGTTACTTAGTTATATTATTTTATCACTTTATTAATTATGAATCATTGTTAACATTTTATTTTCAATTACAAATGATGAAGAAAATAATGAGAAAAGGAAGTTGATGTTGATCACTCCAATTATGTTTTGAATGTTGTTTTTGGACATTAAACTTAAATTATTAAAATTTGAGAAGTTTAAAATAATATTTTATTTTTTTGTTATTAGATCAAATTTATCATTATTTGTTTCTTTCGAGTAACTTTAAAAGTTTGTATAACTTGTTGATTGATTACTTGTCTATTGATCAATGTTTTGATTTATTTTAATATTTTTAAAATTATTTGATCATTTAATAATTAGTTGATTAATATTAATAATTATTAAAAATAAATGATAATAAAAAATTAAATATAAAAATAATATAAATATTAAAATATTTGGTTATTTAAAAAATATTTATTAAAATTATAATATTTTATCATAACTTTGGCCCATTTTGGATAAACTTCTAAAACAATTTTTATAGAAAAAATTAATATAAAAATTAAATAAAACTTTTCTATAAGTTAGAAATAACTTATATTTCTTTATTTTAAAAAATTTTAAGAAATTCACTCATTTAATTTCTCTAAATTTAAAGACATAAGTTATTTTTAACTTTAGAGAGAAATTTTATTTATTTTAATACTAATATTTTTTTCTCTATAAAATTATTTTAGAAGTTCAACAAAATTGTACTTTTATCAATTATTTGGTCGAATTTTATTTAAGCTTATTCATATGCATTAAGATTGGACAATTTTATTAGGCCTTCCAATCTGAAAGGCCTAAACCTATTGAGATTTAAAATGGGTGGATAAAGGTTGGTTGAGTAAAAATAGTTATTAAAATATTTATTTTGAGATTCATATGATTTGATGCGAGTTTGATTAAATTCAACCCAATGATACTCCACCGACAACATGTATAAGAGGGTGTTTCTAAAAAACCCTAATCCTACCACCCCTTATTTCTGTGAGTCTGAGTCTTATGGTCTGAAAATTCTCTATTTATACATTACCTCAATTCTTCTATGTCACCATCTCTAATCCTAATCCTCTCTCTTTCATCTCATTCTCAAGTCATGAAATTTTTAATTCTTATATCTTTTTATTCTAAGATGTTCAACTAAGATATTTTTGTTTTATGTTTTGTGATTTAATGATACTAAAAGACTAAGATTTGTGTTGTTGAACTGAGATTCTTTTGTTTTATATTTTGTAATTCAATAATGTTGAAATTTTAAAATTTATGATATTTTAATTGAGATGTTACTTTTTATTATTATTTTTCTCTCTTTTTATTCAATGATGTTTAGCTAAAAAAAAATTTATTTTGTGTTTTATGACTCAATAATGCTGAAATACTGCTATTTATGTTGTTTTAATTAAGATATTACCTTCTAATTTTTCTTCTTTTTCTCTCTTTTTATTTAATGATGTTGAACTGAGATATTTTAGTGTTATATTTTGTAATTTTTTTATGGTGAGAAATTAGTAACAATTAGGTTTCATGAATCTATAAGGTCTTCACGAAGAGTGATATAGATTCAAGGATTTCAAGCTTAAGGATTTCTCAACCCATAAGATTTTATTTTAAATATTAACTTTTTATTTTATGAATTTTTTAGTATTTATGTTTAAATTCATGTTTGATTATGTTTTTTGATGCATTTTTTTTATCATTTTTTTCGTATATTTGGCTTTGAAATTTATACTTAAATCACCTTGTACATGTTTAGTATGCTGATGTAATGGAATAATTTAATTGTAATATTGTCTCCAAAAATCAGAAGAAAAATTCTAAGTATGTTACGCTAAACTTGTAAATTTGTTCAGTATTTTTCTTTAAAAAGTTAGCTCTAATTGTGAGAATTAAAATCCAAGAATATAAAAAGATTACAGTAGTCATTTAATTTTCATGAAAGAATAAAGAAAAATATAAAAAATGAAAGGAGACAAATTAGGATGAAGATAAATAAAGATATTAAAAAATTATTTTTATTTAAAAAATTTAATTTTTTACTGAATTAATGTGACTTTGAATTTGACTCATAATGGCTAGGAATATTTGGTCTCATAGCTGGTCTAACCATGCTCATAAGTTAAGCATAAATTTAATTCACTAATTAAAGTTTTTTAGGGGGTTAATTAAGTTAATTAATCATAAAATAATACTAAAATAATCAAATAAATTATAAATAAATAATTTAAAATTAAATAATTATAATAAATTATAAATATATCATAAAAAAT